GGTTGTTATGAGGAAGAGGGAGGTAAATTGTTCTCCTTAACCTCTTGAGGATAGGACAAGAAGCAATGGACTTAAATTGCAGCAAGGGCAGTTAAGGTCCGACATGAGGAAAAACTTCCTGTCAGGGTAGTTAAGCACTGGAATAAATTGCCTAAAGAGATTGTGGAATCTCCATCATTGGAAATTTTTAAGAGGAGGTTACACAGTGGCTCTCAAACTTTTTTACTGGTGACCCCTTTCATATAGCAAGTCTCTGAGTGCCACCCATTATAAATTAAAAATACTTTTTTATATGTTGAACAACATTATAAATGCTAGAGGAAAAGCGGGGTTTGGGGTGGAGGTAGACAGCTCATGACTCGCCATGTAATAACCTCACAACCCCAAGGGGTCCCAACCTCCAGTTTGAGAACCCCTGGGTTAGACAGACACCGGTCAGGGATGGTCTAGATAATATTTAGTCCTGCAATGATTGCAGGGAACTGGACTAGATGACTCAAGGTCCCTTCCAGTCGGATACTAGTTTTCAAATCATTAGATTTGTGATGTAGGTATCCCTTTGTTTTAAACTAGTTTTACATTACATGGTTGTGCGTTCTGTAAGACTGATTTCTAGTGCATCAATTCTTGTTTCTTTTCCATAACAAAATTAGAGTCACTCTTAAACCTAAAAGCTTCCAGCTTTACTGAAAGAGGATTAAGTTTTGCTTTAATTTCTTTGTTTTGAAATACTATGCAAACAACTTTCCTCCAACTTAAGCCAAAGCATCTTATGGATCAGGATCAGCCTATGATCTAGACTGCCTATTTCCTTTACATCACATATTACACACATAATTACAATGTAAGTGATTAATACGTGTAAAAGAAAAATACTCTTCACGTGTTTAGTGGTCACTCAGATGTGGACCTACATACGCTTTTCATAGTTGCATCACTTACTACCCTTTCCCAGAAGTATTTTACTTAGCACAGCAGATATAGGAATGGTGTCTTTCCCAATTAAACCTCAGATATCACAGAAAAGGATAAGGAGCAAGGTGAACTCAACACCTAAAGATTTTTCCAAGTTGCTAGATAACACTGGGATCCCTCTTAATGCCATGGGTTGCATAAGGAGAACTAGAAATCTAACATCTCTGCACAGCCTAGGACTTGATAACTAATCTAAAGCTTCCAACATCCTGGGAGGTGTCCAATGAGTGGGCTGCTTTCCCCCACCCACTCCACTCCCATAAGCAAAAGCCATTTTCTATAAACCTTAAACAAGAACCTTAATCTATGCCTTTTAGTAACCCAACTGAATGTTCAGTGCTGCCCATTTTCCTGTTTCATAACTAAGGGCTGTGTCAAGCACCATGCATGCCCACAGAGCGAGAGGAAGAAACCAGACTGCAGTCTGCACGTTCCACTCAGGGGGCTTAGAGCTTCCTTCCCCAATAATAGACACGGGCCATATTTCTGCTAAATCCTAGACAATGCAAAGGTGGAGGTAGGAAGGGGTGACTGATGTCCGACAGCACTTAGCCAGAGCGAACACTACCCACAGAGGGAAGCGCTCCCCTGCCCCCACCTCTGAGGAGCATTAGGGACGGAATAATCGGAGGGAAATGTCCTACTGCCTCAAACCTCTCCTTCCCGCCAAAATCCTTGCACCGCCAACCTTCCCCCTTCCAGCCCGCAATGCGGCACCAGCTAGAGTCTAGACACTCAGCAAGGAGAAGGAGAACGAATTCGTATTAGTTGCCCTCCCCCCTATCAGTGGGCAGCAAGAAGGGAGGCCGGGAGACCGCGCCATACTGCAACCCCGTGCGAAGCGCTGCAGCGAATCACCTGCCCCTTCCCCTCAGAGCGGCGCACCCACGGAACGTATCAGAGTCGCGCATGCGCGTTGCTCTCCGAGAGCCGCACCCACCCTTGGTGAGCGAGGGCAGGTGGAGAAGTGGGCGGAGCAGTGACGAGGGGGCGGGACCAACGGTTTTGGAACGTTCTCGCTTTCTCTGGTTGGGCCTGTCGGGCGAAGGCTGGGGGAGGGGTGAGTGGGGGGGCCGTTATCCGCCGCGAGGTCCGTGGTGCTGCTGCCGTCGCCGTAACAGCCCTGTGCAGGCTGGGGCGTGCGCGTAGCGTGTGCCAGAGCGCTCAGGGTGTGTGCACGAGTGTGAGCCCTGTGTGTGCACGGGGTGTTGGTGCCGCCCGTGTGTGCATTGGTGTGTGTTCGTGTTGGGCGTGTATCTCATGAGTGGCTGTCGCTCGTCTGTGTGCAGGTGTGTGTCATAGTTGGGCGTGTGTGTCTGTTGCATGTACGTGTGCCAGTGTCACACGTGTGTGTGTGTGCAAGCATGCGCCACTGTCGCAAATGTGTGTCTGTCGCGTGTGTGCAGGTGTCAGTTTCATGTTTCTGTCTGTGTACAGGTGTGTGCCAGTGTCACGTGTGTGCAGATGTGTGTCAGAGGACTAGGTGTGTGCAAAGGGTGTCTTGTGCACACACAGGTAATGCTACCCTATTGGGGACTGTAAGGAGGAATATTTTGGCCCCCCCCCCCACCCACCCTCTACAACACTAATTGCATTATTTCCACAAACCAAAAAAATATCCCAACAATGTTAACACACTGTTAAAGAGACCATGTTAAATAAGATGAGTGGTATTTGGGGCCAGGGGCAATATTAAACTGGGAGCACCTGGAGCTTCTTGGGGCCCTAAGTCTGCTTATGTGTGGTTTGTGTACAGGTATGTGTTAAAGTTGTGTGTGTCAGAGTCCCCTGTGTGTATGCATGTGCATGGATGTGTGTGGGTGGATGTGTATGGGTATGTGGTGATTTGTCTGTCAGCGCATGCATGTGTATGCATTATTATGTGTCAGTGTGGTTTGCATGTGAATTTGTCAATATGCATGAGATATTGAGCATATGTGTGTGCTGATGTGTTGTCTGTGTGTGTTGGTGAGAAGATGTGTGCAGCAATGTACCTAGGAGAATGATTGAATTTCAGGGTATTGTGGGTCTCCAGGCTGGGCGTGTCTCAATCAGAAGGGGCATTTGTTTGTCACACTGTATGTTTTGTCAGGATGTGTTAGTGTGGGAACCTGGTGTGCCAGTTTGTGACTTAGCATTTTGTGCATCTGCATGTGTGAAGGAAATTGTGTATTCATATGTCATCTCAGCATTGTGTATCTGTGCATAATGTGCCAGTCAGTGTGTATGTATTTGTGTGTGGTAGCATATTGTGTGTGTGCATTGCAATCTGTGAATATGTGTCAGCAGGTTGGGGACTATGTGCATGTCAGTTGGGAAGTATTTGCATGCCTGGTGCTATGTTGTATGTGTTATGGGGCTATTAATGATCGTGTTATAAGAGTGTGATTCTCCTGATCTCTCCGTAATAGTGGCTAACAAGCAGGAAAAGACCAAATCTGTTGAATACCAGTCACTAATATTGGTAAATTCATAAAGCATGTCATGACCTGGCAGTTTTTTATGCACCATCTCCCCTAAGCTATTTGGGATAGTGTAAGGAGGGAGATAAAATGCCTAGATACAAATATATTGCCACATGCTAATGGTGCAGGCCCACTGCCCGAATTGAAGTTTTTTGAATAAACTTGTACTTTTAAGTTTTATTTTATTTGTTGGTGAAAGGTGTCAGGCTGACACACATAAAAAGTGAAGTTCTCTTTTCCACAGAACAGGTACACAGGCAAGCAGCAGGACAAGATTTCTCTCATCAGCCAATATGCCTCAACCCTAGTCTGAAGGGACCAACTATAGAATTGACAGGACAGTTCAGTGTGCGTATACATTCACTGTTTGACTTCTTTGGTGATATTGTCAACAAGAATGACAGTCATGGTGGTGATTTTGTTAAGTGAACTCTTGTGCACTAGGAAATGGACTGAGGCCACCAATTCATTTTATGTTGGTCTCCCAGCAGCCATTAGACAGAAACAACTGATTTGAATCAGTGGCCTGAAAGTGAAATGTTTTGTATCCCACTACCTGTCCAGTGAGATATTCATTCCTCTTTAGTTTTAAAACTGGAGTTCAAATATTGATAGATGTGTATTTTCCCCCTCAAATCAGTGGCTTTGTACCTTAAAATTTTATTTCAATTGTAAAAGAAACAAAAACGGTATAGTACATCATGGACTGGGAAAGGATCTCATCTATTAATTGAAAATAAACTGAAACTTAACTAAAAAACTTACCAATAAATAAACCAAGTTAGCTTTTCTACCAAACCCTATTCAGATATCTGTAGAAAATCATCTACAAAAAACAAGGATACATGTTAACATTAGAATGAGGGAAAGGCCTGGTCTGGATAGTTTAGATAGTGGGCTTCTGTGAATTTTTGTTTATTGCCCGTGACCTGGCCGTAACTTTTACTCAAAATAACCATGACAAAAATCTTAACCTTATAATGAGTTATGTGCAGGTCATTAGGCTAAACATATCTCAGATCATGAATGACAAAGTTTGAATTGATGCCCTTTGAGTTGAAGCTCTTACTCCAATACTTTGTGGAAATATGTTCATGTCACAGCAACTTCCATTCCACCCAGTGCCCGTGTAGGCAGTCTCATCAGCACAATGGGAGATAGAACGACACGGGGACTGAAATGTCCTGAAGACCACAATATATTGAAAATGTGAACTTTGTAATGTGGTTTCCTGTGCTATGTTTTAATCTGTAAATAAATAGTGAATTTCAAGATAAGATCCTTAGCTAGTGCCAATCAGTTTAGCTCTAATGAAGTCAGCTATATTTAGGGATAGATCCTCAGCTGGTGTAAATCGACATAGTCACATTGACTTTAGTGGAGCTATGCTGATCTTAATCAGCTGAGGATCTCACCCATAGAATACTACTGTGTGGAAAAGGCATTTTGTGTAAATCAGTTCCTCAAGCCACAATTTATATGGAGCTAAACTTACGGAGCAACAGTAGTATATTTTAGAAGTGTTTTATGTTTTGCTGTGTTTCATGTAATCACAGGAAAATGGCAGGAAAGAAGAAAGAAGTTCAACTACAGGTATAAATCTTGTTTGTTATTTGAATAATTCTAGAGTTCAATAAAATTGTTGACATTTTTAGAGATATTAAATTCTGGGTTTGTTTTATCTCAGGTAGTAGTAACCAATCAAAGTCAATGGGATGAAATGTTGCTGACTAAAGGTGTAACAGGTACTATTATTTTTTCTATTAATCTCACATAATGAAATTGTGCATTTTTATCAATCTTTTTATTTTTGTGACCCCTTCCTGCCCAGTTACTTCACACTGTGCACACACTTTGTCTAACTGCCACTTCCTGTGGCTTGCCCCTCAAAGCAAAGAGTTCTAGAAACCTCCATAAAGCCTAAGTAAATATGCTCTGTGTAGCTGTTTTACATGAAGACTCAAAGGATTTGAAATTCACACTCCTAAACTGGGGGCAAAACACAGGTCTGCACTGCAGCCACTCCACAGCTGCTTCACCAGCCTAAAGGCTGGCTGTACGGTCACTGGATCTCCATACCACCTATAGTATGAAAGGAGTTCCTGGCAAATTAATCCATGTGAACTCAGATCTCATGGCTCCTCCATATAACACTCAACTGTGCCTCTCGCATTGGCCATTTTGGAACTGTCACAATATCAATCCAATCACACGAAAGATACAAAGACCCAATGCATTGTGTCTGCCTGCAATTCAAACACAGAAGGGTTCTATAGTGATGAGTGACTTTCACATACTCCTTTGCAAAGCAGTGAATTTAAACCATACTGGATATCATGCATGGGTGTTTAAAAAAAAAAAAAAAAAGTTCTGAAAAGACTTCATGTCTGGGAAGGGGTAGGTGAAAGCTCTGATAGATCAATATTTTCAATTACTCAGTAAAATCGAACTAATCAGCAGAATGAGTTTTATGTGCCTATTCATGCACAATTGTATCTGGCATAAGACAAGCAATTGTGTTATAAATTGTGTGCTTTCAAGAGTGTACATAGTATGTATTTTCTTCACTCCCCTCAGTTTGTATGTAAGCTTAGCATCAATATCTGTTAAATTTATTAGGAATGCTGTCTAAAGAGGGAGAACAGATCATGGGTGAAGTGATCAGGGGAGCAAGAGAGAAAACCAATGGGTTGTGAGTAAGGTTGAGAGAGACACACACAGCATACATGATCTTAGGAAGGAGGGAAACAGCCCAAAATGGAGCGACAGGGCATGGAAAGAGACAACTGATAAAAGGGCCAAAGGAGGGGGAGACAACTAACAGTGGGCACAGGAAAGGAAGGTCAACCAAGACAAAGGAATAGGGGAAGGAGACATTAATATATCTGCATTTCCCACCACAAAATATATAAATAAATAAATAAATACTCTTACAGACTAAGATTTAAGTTGAAATCTAATTTGTGTAAGAGATAATACCAAAACTTAATGTTTTTCAGAAGAAAAAGAGACCAGAAATAGACTTAGAAATACATGTATGCCAATGCCACTGCAGGACTAACCCTATACATTTACAAAAACATTTTATTTTATAAACTATATGAAACAGATGAGTTTCATTCTAATTTTTTATACTTTCAGTAATAGATGTTTATCAGGCTTGGTGTGGGCCTTGCAAAGCTGTGGTAAATTTATTCAGAAAACTAAAAAATGAGCATGGTGAAGATGACCTTTTGCATTTTGCTGTGGTAAGGATGTAAATGCTATTTAGAACTTCAGTGTCAAATGTATTTCTGTATCTATCTATTTATAGAGTACCTATCACCATAGTATCTGAGTACCAGTGGAGTCATTGGTGAATTTGGCTTGCTTGTCTCTTTTCTGAATGACTTCTTAAAAGAGGACGATCAAAGTGTATAATGGATAGGGAAGGATCTATAATAAGAGAAGGGATAAGCTAGAATCATACAAGTTAATTATGGAAAAGACATACTAGACAATAGTGTAATGGAGAACATTCTTATAATGCATACATATTATGAGATAGAGTTGAGATTACTGGGGGAACCATATCTCTGAATATACCGACTTGCATGTTTAAAAATCCAAGTCTTAACATTGCATAACCATATAGCCTGACTTTCAGAAGTGCTGAAACTTCCTCTGAAGACCATAGAAGTTGTGGGTGCTCATCACTTCTGAAAATCAGGTCAGTAACTTCCTTTTGTTTTTCTTGCTTTTCCGTATAATTTCCTATGTTATATTTAAAAAGGAACAAAGAGGGGGAAGCTGAAAAACAAATAGATTAAAAATGTTTTTGAGAAAAAGTTCAACCAGAAGAGCAAGATAAAATGGCAGCTACAATCTAATGCACTAAAGATATATGTGTTTCACAGGTTGATTCTGAGTTCCCATCCAGATATTGAACTATCAAGCTTATAATACTTGTCAGTATGGCTGCAAATTGTTTTTGTTGCATTCTCTGAAGCCCCAGAGAGCAAGATGACAGAAGCAACCTGTCTTGCCTATGGCAATAGCCATTAAAAAGCATCATGCGCTAACCATTACCAAAAGAGTTACCACTGATATCTTCAGTTGTAAACACAGAGCAAAACTGTCTAATTGCAGATACCACTATGTAGTTACCGTTGGCAAATGCTCTTTAAATGGAGATCATTGTAAGTTGGACATACAAATGTGGATCACTACCATTAAGTTAACAGACAAGTCCGCAAGGTTTTTATCCTACAGATCTTTTACACAGATCTCCTCCTATTAAACTCGGATTCTAAAAATCCAACCCTATATATATCAAATATTTAAAGCTTTTTAAAAAAAGTCATACACACATAGGTATGTGTATATGTGTACATACAAAACATAGAGCAACAAGCCCAAAACACCAAACAACGAATTGTAATCTCATACCACTGAAGTCAGTAAGGTTATACTAATGCAAAACCATTGTGAAATCAGAATCAGACCCCAGGTTTTCAGCTATACCTCTACTATCCCGGCTATTTGCAACCCTGCGTGGCTTTTAAAATAAGAGAATATCAAGCCTGTTCATTCCATCTGTTTTCATACATCTAGCTGCTGTCCCTTCATCTGCACTTACTTTACATCCGTAATTTATTCCTGCCAGCATATGTAAATGTTTACATCTGCAATATTATTATTTGGGGTTGTTATACTGTATCATTAACATCATACCTTTCACCCAGAGTGACTGTATTAATTCAGGACTCTGGTGGCCCAGAAGTGTAAACCGTTCATTTCCATTCAGGTCTCCCTTCAATTAGTACCGCTATCATTGATAAATTTAACAACAATATTATATAGTGCTTGTGATCTAGTTATTTTAAAATAAATACTATGTTAAAACCTTGCCAAGTATAATTCATCAGTGTTAGTTCAAACAGTTTTTGGATTTGTGTGTATTTGTATATGTAAAATACATTTATAAAACAAGAAGTAACTGTTAATAAATGTAATTCATGGGATTCTCAAATCTTTATATAGTGTGGACCACATCTTAACAGAGAGTTAATACAATAGACCACTTTCCCTCCCATTGAAATGTCATGGGACTTTCCCATGTGTGATCCTGTGACATTCCAATGGCAATTACAGCCATTACTTACCTCAAAAAGCAATATTAGGACACAGTACTTTTAATGTGATTTAGCAGCTGTAAACAAGAAGGAAAGCCTGCCCCATGTGACCAGCAAGGTTGATCACAAGCAAGTGTTTTAAGGACTACTATTGATCCACAGAACCACGGTTTGAGAATCATTCTGTAAAAGTTCTCAAATATCTATCTATCTATCATAATCTATTTGCCCTTATTTTAGGCAGAGGCTGACAGCATTGTGACCCTGCAGACATTTAGAGACAAATGTGAACCTGTTTTTCTCTTTTGTGTTGTAAGTTCGTGCTGCCTATTGTTGTTATTTTTTTCAGTATATTGAAAATAAATGTAAAGCTGTACAAATGTGAATTACATCTTTACAATTTTAGTGTATAGGATATTGTTGCATATTGTACATTCCAGTCATTTTAACAGTGAATCATATTTTATATGTTCTTGGCATGCACAGAAGAAGGGGTATTAGCATAGTACTTCTGCTAACTGGAGAAGAAAATTCTCCATTATATTATAGTATATTATGCCAGGCCTGGTTGCTAACTCCGTAGGCAAGTGTTTTTTTGTACTTGGAAGTTTTGAGATTTGGATTCCAGCAGCTAGAGGCTAATAACCAGGGTGCATTAAGGATACTCCACTCTATATGAATGCAGCCACGTGAAATTAACAGCTTCTCTGATCTCACCAAAAGCTAGCCAGTTTCACTGTGCTGCTCATGCATATACACCTCTACCTCGATATAACGCTGTCCTCGGGAGCCAAAAAATCTTACCGTGTTATATCAAACTTGCTTTGATCCGCCGGAGTGTGCAGCCCTGCCCCCCCGGAGCACTGCTTTAAATATCTCATCTCCTAGAACTGGAAGGGACCTTGAAAGGTCATCAAGTCCAGCCCCCTGCCTTCACTAGCAGGACCAAGTACTGATTTTGCCCCAGATCCCCAAGTGGCCCCCTCAAGGATTGAACTCATGACCCTGGGATTAGTAGGCCAACGCTCAAACCACTGAGCTATCCCTACCGCATTATATCCGAATTCGTGTTATATCGGGTCGCGTTATATCGGAGTAGAGGTGTATATGGTGGAGCAATGAGCAGAAGAGTGAAGCACAGAAGGGAGAGTAGTGAAGGAAGCTGTTGGGAAATGGAGGAACTAGAACTGAGATGAGGAGAGACAAATAGTGGAGGGAGGAAACCTGGAAACGAGGAGGATAGGAAGTGAAAGCAAGAAAGGTCTAATTCTGTGCCAGTGAAGTAAATGGAAACTTTGTGATTAACTTTAGTGGGCACAGGGTCAGATCCCAAAGGAGGAAGAGAGTAACCAAAAAGCAAGAATAGTCAAAAATGGGGAGGGGAAAATGGGAAGAGATGGAAACAAGGACAGAGAACAGCAAGAGAAGGAAAATTTAGGCCTGATTCTCATTAATACTAATGTCCCTTTACACCATTCTATCAATGCAAACGGGCCTAATTGTGGATATAAATTATGTTTACACATGCCTTAAGGCCTCTTTATGTAGCTAGAGCAGTGTAAAAGGGAATTTAGTGTAAATGAGAATCAGAATTTCTAAATTCTTTCCTTCAAATTTCTTTTGAATTTTAAGCAAATTAATTGTAAGTGAATTTGTGCAAGGTGTCTGATTGCTAGCCCTGGACATTTTGTTGCGCTATTTATTGAGGACCAGATTTGGCAGTCCTTAATTGAGCAAAACTCTTATTATCTCCAATAGGAATTTTGCTCAAATAAGGATAGCAAATTTTGGCCATTACAGAACAAATACAGCTTGGGTATCAATAGTAGTAGCATCCCTATCCTGCCACATATCCAACTTGGAGGAAGAACTTCTAATGGTGAAAGCAGGGCTTAATTTGTAATGGAAGAGGTGCCGGGGCTCAAGCAATTTTTTTACATTCATAACTGATGCAGCAAGCCCAGAGGTGCCGGCGCTATGAACCTAAGCCTAGAGGTGGCAAGGCTAAGTCCTGACACAAATTAAGTACTGAGTCAGAAGGAAGTTCATTCTCTATACCCGTGGTGCCCAACATTTTCCTGTAGCACCCCCCCATACACCTGTAACAGAATCTGTCTGCATGCCTGCCCTCTCCCCATTACCACACAGTTGGCTCTGCAGAGGAGAAGCTGGGGGCAGAACTGGGGATGAGGGAGGATCTGTGGCTAGAGGTGGAGCCGTGGCTGGGGACAGAGCAGAGCTGCGGCATGGGGTGGAATGGAGCTGCAACTGGGAGCAGAGCAGGGGGGTGGAGTAGAGCTGCGGATGGGGGCTAGCCCGGGTTTCGCTGCGTGCCCCTCTGAACGTTCCACTGCGCCCCACAGTTTGGGGACCACTGCTCTATACCCATTTAACTGCTGGCCTTTCAGCAGAGCTGCCAACAGAGGTAACAGTCCAATCATTGCCAATTGTGACCATGGTCTGTGCTAAGTAGACAACTGCTCAATAGGAACTTGACTGAGACCACCAACTCATTTCATGTAGGACACTGTTGAGCAGTTGGATGATAATTTTAGACCAACTAGGCTATATTTGAAATGTTGATGATGAAATGCTCTGTAGCCCATTACGCATCCGTTGAATTAGACATTAGAAAATGCCAGGTTCTGAAATGTAAACCCTCTGAAACTTTTGAGATGAGACCTATGTTAAGCAATAACAGAATAACAAATAATGGGAATAACAGTCAGTTTTCTTTGATATCACTGATTTTAGCCCTGTGTTTTTGATTCATCACCTGTTTTGCAGATCAGTCTATCTGCAGTGATACATTGCTACAACTTTTAGTTTTAGAATACAGTATCATGGTAACTGTCTATTGCTGGTGAAAAATAGATTGTGTTAGAAGTCAATTAAATGTGCAAAACTAAATTAGTAGATCTTACTGAGAGTGTTATTTTATCATTTATTTTTTACAGGATGGCAAAATTATAGCAATGGTGCGAGGCACAAATGCACCACTTCTCAGTAAGACAGTAATAAAGCTATTAGAAGAAGAGAGGAAAATTTTAGCAGGGGAAATAGAACGCCCTGAGGTACTCACTAGATAACTGTTTTCTTATCAAGTTTAAATATAAATGAATATTTTTATTACATTTGCATGGTCTCTTTCTATGCTTGTGGTGCTGTTTTTATTTCTTTTACTGTTCATATTTCATTTTTATTTTTGTGGATACCACTATCTTTACCATGAACTGGCATGTATCTCATCTTTTAGAAACTTCCAGTAAGTGGTACTTATCCAAATGATACTGGTAATTTTACAAACTGATCTGTATGCAGAGGAGAGATTCTTCACTAACAAAAATATCACCAGCATAAAAACTAACTTTGTATTTATCTCTTTATTTATTTTTATACTTTCAATGCTGGACATTTTTCTTATCTATTTTACTATGGGCTCGAGAGAATACGGGAAAGGGGACAGTTCTTACCTAATTCCTCTTTCCTACTGAAATGCAGGTGAAAGAATTCCATTTATCTGTATAGATGCAAAAGAGAAATTGTAATGGACTACAACTCAGTTAAGAAAAATCAGAACAAACCTAAATTCTCATAGTACCGTATGAGATAACATTATACCCTATCAAATATATTATTAGCTTCTCAGGATAAAACTGCTGAAGAGATAACTGGTAGCTGAGCTTGGTGACTTAAATTATTTTTCTTGTGTTAGCAGCAGCAAGCCTGCCTGTTTCAAAACCCACTTGAACTATGTGAATAATTGAGATTAAATCATTTAGTTGTGTTGCTAGAATTTTGGTGTTTACTTTATATTCTACATTTAGCAGAGAAATAGGTTGGAAATTTCCACAGTTATGTCCATCTTTATGTTTCTTTAAAATTAATGTAATGAGGAGTCTCTCATATTGTAAGGTATAAAAGTGTTAGGGTTTCCCCCTAATTTAAGAGAAGATTTGCAAGTCTGGGCTGGCACAAGGTTCCACAAAATCTGCAAAAAAAAGTTTAGAAGCAGAAAAAGAAGCAGCTTAAATGTTGATGTTGGTATTATCTTGCACTAAGTTAATGTTGCAGGGAGTTTTTCAGAGAGGGGAAGCAGAGAAAGAACGAAGGAGTGACTTGCTCAACATTGCTGGCAGAGCCAGGAATGGCACCCAGGTCTCATGATTCCCAGTGGGCTATACACTGGCCCATACTGCCTCAGTATTAACTTCATACTGACACTATAATTTTATCAGAATAACAACAACATGAAAACTGCAATTTTCTTAGGTACAAGAGCTTGTGTTTTTAGAAGAGAAAACATCAGAAGTATATAGTGAAGAAAGCCAACTTGAAGGTAAATGATATTTTAATTATTTTACAATTATTAGTACAAAGAAAAAACTCAAACAGGTATCTTGTTAGTTATTTGGTATGTCCAGTGATAAAATTTTCCTTTGATTCATTTAGTAACTTGAGAGATTATTGTGGAAGGAGTCAAATTATCACACGCAGGTGCATATGAATGTTGTAAAATGGTCAAAATAATAACAGATATGCTTATGTTGTTATTATTAATAATTATTTCTATAATGTCTGAGATCTGGATCCAACTCTATGAAGATTTAACATGATGGAGCTCTCAATGCCTGTAGCAAAGGGTTTAATTTGAACTTTGAATTGTCTTCTAACTTAATATAGCATCCATGACAGAAAAATTATGGTAAAAAATGGTGACCAAGAACAACATGGCACCTAAAAGCTGTGCATCTTGTAAAGGCCTAAGAGTATGAATTTTGTTGGGGTACAAATGAGAGCCCCCTTTCACCAGGGGCGGCTCTAGGCACCAGCAAAGCAAGCACCTGCTTGGGGCAGCCCATTTGCAGGGGCGGCAGGGATCCAGCATGGGAGCTGAGAACCAACAGGGGGCCCTGGGAGCTGTAGTTCCTTGGTTAGCTCCCTGCCTATAGAGCCAGGCCTGGAGCAGGGAAAGAACTACATTTCCCAGCATTCCCTTGGCCACTACCAACAGGAAAGAAGGGGAGGGAGGGAGGAAGCTGAGACCTCATGCTGCAGCCTGCTGTGAATGGAGAGCTGCACTGTGAGTAGGGATTCCATATTTTAACATTCAAAAAATAGGACACTCCACGGGGAGGGAGGGTAGCCCCACCCTGCCCCCATCCACTCCCTCCGACTGCCCCCCACAGAAACCCCAACCCATCCAACCCCCTTGCTCCCTGTCCCCTGATCACCCCCTCCTGGGACCCCGCCGCAACTGCCCCCCAGGACCCCACCCCCTATCTAAGCCCCAATGGTCCTTGTCCCCAACTGCCCCCTCCTGAGACCCCCCCCAACTTCCCCCCTAGGACCCCACCCCCTACCTGTCCCCTGACAAACCCCTGGGACTCCCATGCCTATCCAACTGCTGCCTGTCCCCTGACTGCCCCCCAAACCTCTGCCCCATCCAACCCCCCCTTCTCCCTGTCCCTTGACTGCCCCCCCCCGGAACCCCCTACCCCTTCTCCAACCCCCCAGCCCCCTTACCGTGCCACTCAGACCAGCGTGTCTGGCTTCGCACAGCGCCAGACACGCTACTGCATACATGCTGCCGTGCTCCCCTGCGGATCCACAGCCCCCCCCCAGCACCTGCCTTCCAGATTTTAACACCTCAAAATTCAGGAGTGCTCAAGCTCAGTTTGGGCAGCTGTTACTTCATTTCTCCCAAATCAAATATACTGATCCACTGTAACTTGCTGTAGAAAAAGTAGGATAAAATTGAGCAAGAAATGCTTCCCAGTGGTTATTAGGACTGGAATTGCTATTTTCAACAGCCATTGCCTTTTCGTTTGTTTGTTTGTTTGTTTGTTTAAAAAGAAGACAGTGATATTGCATTGGCAAATTCCCCATAGAAAGAAAGAGTGGAACAAAAGAATAATAAAGGCACCTCAACTTTTCCTCCTTTATGGAGGACAGTCTTACAATATGCATCCAGATATCCTCCAATCACACAAGCTGAAAATTGTTCCACTTTACTGCAGTTCTGTAACCATATGGGAACCAATCCTGGCTGTGTTCTGTGCACATCTAAAATTCCTGCTGAATGACCTGCCCTGGGAGCGAGTTACCAGTGCCCCAGGGCTGCGGCGGAAGGAGGATGCAGGTGGGGGGGGGG